CCCCCCCCCCCCAGCACTGCAGGGGTTAAATTATTGTTAGGTCTAGGGTTAGAGGATTGAGGTGTTATATTTACCCTATTCTTCACTCTGGCAAGCATTGCCATTTTCCTCTTCTCCCTGGGGCTGCTGGTTTTTGGAGGCTCTTGCCATACAATACAGGGCTGACCTATGTGTCTTAGAGAAGAGTCTTCCGGGGACCAGTATTTGTATTACACATTATTCCTCTACACCTAAGCTCAACAAGCATTTAGCCCTTGCAGTGCAGTTTTTGTTTTATTCTCCGTACAATAAAATTATAGTGGGTTGCTGCACATAAGAATTAGCACTTGATACTGAATAAGGCTGTTGACCCTTAAGAACCTATAAACACCTATGCATGTGCTTCAACACATTTATGCACATTTATCCATTATATCACACATGGGCCCTCAAGGTAAGGTGAGGTAGTGTTGTTTATTGTTGATGGGCTGTAGTGTAGTTATTGGTTGGCACAGACTGACAATATACTAAGGTCAGCTTGTATGAATTCAAAAGATGAATATGTCTCAATTCAGAAGACAGCTGAACAATAAAACAGTTGGACATTCTGAAATTCTGTTGACTTTGACATTAAAATGGGATTCAGGTACAGTAAGAATTTCATGTTGTGCAATGGCTATGGAATAGATGGATAATTACAATCATTTCCCCCACAGATTCTGAAGAGGGGATGTCATGTGAATGACAGAGATGGACTAACAGACATGACACTGTTACACTACGCATGTAAAGCTGGAGCCCATGGAGTGGGTAATGTATCAGCTGTTTTATACTCTTATCAGCTGTAATACTCTTATGGTTTACACCTTTATGGAAAAGTTATGTAATAAGGCTGGCCATTGGCTAGCCTGTATTTGTTGGAGGAGCCTGGTCTTTAAATACTGCCGCAGTTCTGCTTCTTCCCAGCGTGGGATAATTTTCTGGTATCCCACCCACACAAAACCCCTTTTTACAAACACTTCTTGAGTATGCCCCCTTTTAGGCATATTGACCAGCGCGACCAAGGCACACCTCAGATCACGGTCCGTAAGAGTTTTACACATGGTCGTGTCCAGGCTCTGACCACAAATATAAAATGTAATTCATTCATGAAAGAATACAAATTTAATTCATTTATGAAAGAATAAAAATATAGAAAAAGATAAATAATTTTATACAGTACATGACTTCAGTGAAGTGCAGGACAGCATGTGTCCACAAACAAAAACACGAAGGACAGAAACTGCAGAAAGGCATCCTCAGCTCCCTTTAGATGAGAAAATCCAACAAAACCTCAATTAGCTAATTGTGAGCAAGATCTTAAGGTGGCCATACACTTTACAACCCTCGCAAGACTTTTGTACAGGCAGATCGTACCTGCGATCATCGCAAGCCCGCCCCCCTGCGAGAATCGTGCAGTGTATGGGCACCTTTAGGGTAATGCACATATGAAGGAATGCTGGTATGACTTTACTATATACACTAGCTCAGGGCTCAAAATTTCCACTCGCCCGCTCGCATTTGGCGAGTGGAAATAAAGAGAGGGCGAGTGGAAATTCAGTCAGGCACGCGGTCACGGATCGCGTACCTGACTATGAGAGCAGCCGCTCCTTGCTGTCCTGTCCTGGCTCCGTTCCTTTTCGGCCGGAGCTCTGCAGTTCTGAGCTCTGTTCTCTGCAGTAAGGTCTGCAGACCTTACTGCAGAGAACAGAGCTCAGAACTGCAGAGCTCCGGCCGAAAAGGAACGGAGCCAGGACAGGACAGCAAGGAGCGGCTGCTCTCATAGTCAGGTACGCGATCCGTGACCGCGTGCCTGACTGAATTTCCACTCGCCCTCTCTTTATTTCCACTCGCCAAATGCGAGCGGGCGAGTGGAAATTCAGTCAGGCACGCGGTCACGGATCGCGTACCTGACTATGAGAGCAGCCGCTCCTTGCTGTCCTGTCCTGGCTCCGTTACTTTCGATCGATCACCGGAGCTCTGACAGTTCTGAGCCCCGTTCGCAAGGATGGATTAGTAAGGTCTGCAGACCTTACTGCAGAGAACAGAGCTCAGAACTGCAGAGCTCCGGCCGAAAAGGAACGGAGCCAGGACAGGACAGCAAGGAGCGGCTGCTCTCATAGTCAGGTACGCGATCCGTGACCGCGTGCCTGACTGAATTTCCACTCGCCCTCTCTTTATTTCCACTCGCCAAATGCGAGCGGGCGAGTGGAAATTCAGTCAGGCACGCGGTCACGGATCGCGTACCTGACTATGAGAGCAGCCGCTCCTTGCTGTCCTGTCCTGGCTCCGTTACTTTCGATCGATCACCGGAGCTCTGACAGTTCTGAGCCCCGTTCGCAAGGATGGATTAGTAAGGTCTGCAGACCTTACTGCAGAGAACAGAGCTCAGAACTGCAGAGCTCCGGCCGAAAAGGAACGGAGCCAGGACAGGACAGCAAGGAGCGGCTGCTCTCATAGTCAGGTACGCGATCCGTGACCGCGTGCCTGACTGAATTTCCACTCGCCCTCTCTTTATTTCCACTCGCCAAATGCGAGCGGGCGAGTGGAAATTCAGTCAGGCACGCGGTCACGGATCGCGTACCTGACTATGAGAGCAGCCGCTCCTTGCTGTCCTGTCCTGGCTCCGTTACTTTCGATCGATCACCGGAGCTCTGACAGTTCTGAGCCCCGTTCGCAAGGATGGATTAGTAAGGTCTGCAGACCTTACTGCAGAGAACAGAGCTCAGAACTGCAGAGCTCCGGCCGAAAAGGAACGGAGCCAGGACAGGACAGCAAGGAGCGGCTGCTCTCATAGTCAGGTACGCGATCCGTGACCGCGTGCCTGACTGAATTTCCACTCGCCCTCTCTTTATTTCCACTCGCCAAATGCGAGCGGGCGAGTGGAAATTCAGTCAGGCACGCGGTCACGGATCGCGTACCTGACTATGAGAGCAGCCGCTCCTTGCTGTCCTGTCCTGGCTCCGTTACTTTCGATCGATCACCGGAGCTCTGACAGTTCTGAGCCCCGTTCGCAAGGATGGATTAGTAAGGTCTGCAGACCTTACTGCAGAGAACAGAGCTCAGAACTGCAGAGCTCCGGCCGAAAAGGAACGGAGCCAGGACAGGACAGCAAGGAGCGGCTGCTCTCATAGTCAGGTACGCGATCCGTGACCGCGTGCCTGACTGAATTTCCACTCGCCCTCTCTTTATTTCCACTCGCCAAATGCGAGCGGGCGAGTGGAAATTTTGAGCCCTGCACTAGCTCGATGCAGAAAAAAGTCCTGCGTGGAAGACAGTTTCATCTATATAAAAGGTATACACTTGATGGATCCCTTGATGACAGATCTTGAAGAATGATAAAAAAAGGTAAAAGGTTACAACCCTGCTTCAGCTTGGCAGACACTGGGGTTATGTTAGGTGCCCCTTTTAGGTATAAATAGTGTTCAAAAGGCGGTCCACCCAATACTGATTCTCAGTTTTAGACTGATACATGTGACGCAGTTTGGATAATCCAAAGCATTCTTATATACCCTGTTTCCCCGAAAATAAGACCTTCCCCCGAAAATAAGACCTAGTACTATTTTTGGGAATTGCTAAAATATAAGACCTACCCCGAAAATAAGACCTAGTTGTGATGGTTCCCAGGGCCGGTGGTGGCATAAGGGGGAACTTGAAGATCCGTGGGAGAGAATCAGTGGTGCCAATGAAGCCAGCGCTAGAGGAAGAGAGGTGGCACCGGAGGGAGCAGAGCCGCATAAGCCGATGCTTCCTCTATAGCGACGGCTCCTGTCACAGGCGGACTGATACCAAATGCATTCCGCCTGTGAGGAATCGATAGTGAAAGTGCGCTTCGCTCATTCTGGCCAGCGATTGGTTAGCAAATTGCTCTTGGAACGGTACGGCACCCCTGATCACCATATTTTTGTACATGAATACAGTAGACTGTTGTACAGGAATAAATGTGGACTGTTGTGCATTAAAATAAAAAAACAAAATAAGCCCTACCCGGAAAATAAGACCTAGAGGTGTTTTATGAGCCTCAAAAAAATATAAGACAGTGTCTTATTTTCGGGGAAACATGGTATACTGGGGTTCCCAGTTCCACCCATGACCTGTGGGCATTAGAGAAATGTCTGATTCATTCATTGAAATGTGTTGGCAAGGTTTTGCTGCAGAACTCCCCAAGCCAGAGAAGGGCTCAGTTGGGCAAAATCCACCCATACGTGTAAATGTCAGTTTGAGTTCCTTAAAGTGTTGTTTTCTAATTTCATTGAAGCTTCTATATTGTCCTTTCAGGTTTTTTTTTCAGTGTTTTAGATATTCCTGTTTTTTCCTCCATTGCCATGGAAAAAAAACCTCTGCTGTGCCTAGGATTCTTTTGTACGCAGACAGCTCCTACGTGTTGTATCTCAGGTCAAGAAAGTGGCTACCCCTGCTGAGTACATAAGCAATGACAGGAGCTAGAATGAGGAATTGATGTATTTAGTAAAATATGGCAATAAAAAGGTTTGAGGACAATAAAGTCTTTGTTAAAGGAGTTGTAAAGTCCCAGCATACCCTCTCCTGTTATAATTTAAGCATTTTGATAGGAATACATACTGGAGTTGTTATTGATAATAAATCAAAGCTTTATTGATAATAAATCAAAACCTTTTATGTGGTTAGTGCTGCCTTCTGTCTGCCCATCACTTCCAACAACTGCCTGGATTCCCAGTGTGCTTTGCATCTCTTCCCCTGCTGCTTGATGTGATGCAATCTCCACTTCTCACGACTACATATCCCATGATACATTGCTTCCAGCAAGCAATGATAATGTTACCATGTTCAGACATTGAGTTGTAGCTCAGAAGGCAGGCTCTCTGAGAGTTGTGCACATTCACAGGACTGAGTGAAATTGTCTAGATGGATCTGGTTATTACGAGTGGTATGGAAATTCTGGAAATTCAGTATAGAAATACAGATTTATTTTTAAGTCTGTGAAGGTTCTCATTCATCTAGGTCATGGTATATCTGTAAAAAATAAGTCAAGGCAACTGGACTTGCTGTATTTTTCTTGAAGACGTTTCACTGGTCATCCAACCAGCTTTCTCAATTCAGAATGACTTGTACAAAAATTATCTGGGAATAAATATGGTGAATGTTGCTCCAGATTATGTGGATTGGAGCTACATTCACCATATTTATTCCCAGATAATTTTCATACAAGTCATTCTGAATTGAGAAAGCTGGTTGGATGTCCAGTGAAACATCTTCAAGAAAAATAAAGCAGGTCCAGTTGCCTTGACTTATTTTTTTACAGATAGATTTATTTTAATTTTTTGACCATAGATGGGGAATGCATTTTTACCACTACTGATTGTATCATAACTTCGACATTCTAGGAGACCCAGCAGCCGCTGTTCGATTAACCAATCAGCTTCTTCAACTGGGGGCTGACGTAACTCTGCGCAGCCGATGGACTAGCATGAATGCCCTGCACTATGCTGCATACTTTGATGTCCCAGAACTTCTACGCATCTTACTGAAATCATCAAAACCTAAAGGTGAGGGAATGGAGGCAGGTGCCTGATAATAAAGAGGGCACTGAGACATCACCATGAGTAGTGGGATGTATGGTGGTGGTAATATGGTTCTCCGAGGAAATGTTTTAATGTATCCCGGTATATTCTGTATTGACTGAAAGAGTAGTTGATGATTGGCAGTGGCACATACTTCCATTAGACGTAGTGAGTAAAGCAATTAAGATAAAATTGACATCTTTTTGAAATACAAATGCTGTGTGAAAAAAAGGTTACTGTGACCAGATTCTAGTAAGTAAATTTCAACATGCTTGGGACATAACATAGATCAAAACTAAAACAAACTCAGACCCAAAAAAAAACAACAACAAACAATCCAAACATTTTTAAATGGGGCAGATTTGATTTACTAATTGTTTTTTTTTCTGCTGTCACAGGTCTATGTTGATATAAAAGACAAGCTTTCAAGAGTGAACCTCTCTTCTTCAGGTCAGGAGAATATGATACTTAGAACATTCGGGGTTGTCTAAGGAGACAGCTTGCTTTGCAGCTCTCTTTTTCTGATAAAAACTTCCTACTGAGTTGTAGGTATTAAGTGGATCTCCCTAAACGGTAGAGGTGCCTAAATGGTTACAGAATTGTCTAAGAATGGGCACAATGTTAAGTCAGTTGTTATCACACTGGCAACAGGCTTCATGGCCAACATAAGGACATTTTTGGAGGGAGGGTGTGCCAAAACTCTGGTATGTGCTGGGTAATTGGTTTCAGCACCTAACCCACACTGCAAGGATAAAATGTTTATTTATGCCTAGGGTACCAGTAAAAAGGCTTAATACTTACCCAATCTCTTGGTACCACAGGCTCCATCCACGCTATGTGACCAGGCCCTGCAACCTCTTCTCTGAGGTGCTCCAGCAGTCACAGGCCTTCTGACAACATCATCAAGTACAATGCAGGGCCAATAGCCCCGCATTGTATGTGAGGATGCTGAGGGACCATCCACAACCTAGAGCATCAGCGAGGAGAGTTGAGCGCCAGCTGCTGGGCGGGAGGGATGGCGAGTGATGAGGTAAGTAAAAAACCTTTTTACGGGTACCCTAGCCAAACATTTGTGATCATTCCTTGAAGTGCAGGGGGGAGCCCCACTGCAAGGGAGTATTTTTCTTTTACCCTGAGCTCATACTGAAATCCAAGTTAAATGTATTTATTTTTCTCTCCATCACATAGTGCTAAATTCCACCTGCAGTGATTTTAGCCATGGTACCGCTGTGCACATCGCTGCCTCTAATCTTTGCCTGGGAGCTGTCAAGTGTCTGCTGGAACATGGTGCCAACCCATCCGTCAGGGTAAGGAACATCCTCTAATACAGTGGTTCTCAACATGTGTAACCTCGGGACCCGCATTTGTCCTCGGTCATTAAGTCATGACCCAAGTTGCACTGCAATGTTCCATGTTGCGGTACTGCGATTTCTGGTGCAGGCAATCGAACTAGAGGTGGGAGGTGGGTTTGGGTTGCCATTACGGAAACTGGAGTGTATCCTCATCCTGGGGTCCAGTGTGGGCTGCTGTGCTGTGATGGAGCATCATCCATATGTGTATTGCTTGTAAAGCTCCCTTGCGTGCCCTGTAGAGGTGCCAGGAGCCAGAATGTGATGAGCTGTTAAAGCAATGCACGTATGGATGGAGCTCCCTCGCTGCCATAGCTCCACCTCACCCCACCTCACCTCAAGTCAACGCTCGGCACCGGGGCATCATATTTTGGAATGGCTGCTCTGTGCGAGAACTGACAGTGCTTCTCTAGGGGGCGCTGAGGAACCTTTCGCCTAGAAAAGTGGAAGGCATGTGGTGACCAACTGGACATGGGGCTGTGACCCACTTTTGGGTCACGACCCACCAGTTGAGAACCAAGGCTCTAATATATACCTTTCATAAGTCTTTGCTACATTGCATTGTAGTCCAGAGAAAACTCATTACCTAACAATACAAGTCCCCATGCCCTAGATAATACTGCAAAGATAACATATTTTATTTAAGATCAGTTACGAATCAATTGTCAGCATTCATCAGTTTTGTGTCATCAGAGCAATAAAGGATTGTTTATAATTTGTTGCTTTGGGTTACTGCTGTATATACATTTATACATTGCTTAGGCCGTTTTTAAGGCCAATGAATCTTATTTGATATGGTACATTTGTTTCTGCCAGTTGGAACATTGGCTTTATTACTATTTTAAAAGTGTATTTATACCCAAAAGGACAACAGTCACTTACCCTTAAACTCAATGTGATCCATTAACCTAATACAGGGAAACCTGAGAAAGGAAATTCATTATTTTCAATTAAATCTGCATGTTAAAATGGACCAAATGTATTGGGAGCTGAAATTATATCTTGACTTTTCCTGTTAAAGTCAAGCTTGGTCGCACCCCCTCCCAGGGCTCCCAATGGATCAGTGAAGTAAATAATTAATATAATAACTAATCTAATAACTAATTAGGCTAATAACTAATCAATAATCATGTTTACAAACCAACAGACAAGCTCGGGAGGTGGGAGAGGGTGAAGCCAAGCTCAACATGTACAGGAAAAGAGTCCTGGCTCTAAGTATTGGGAAGAGCACAGTGGTACATCGGTTCACGAACTTAATTTGTTCCACGATTCTGGTTGTGAACCGAATTGGTCGTGAACCGAATCAAATTTCCCCTGGATTGAATAATACTGTACAGTACTGTATGTGCTAAAAAGCATACAAAACAGCTTCCCAGCAAGTGTGCACAGGTCTGTCTGCGACCGCGATCTCGACTAGAGGAAGCCACAACCACGTGTCAGAGCGGGAAAGATGGCCTCAGTCGTGTTCGTCACCCGATGTGGAGTTTGCGAACGTAAGCAAAATTTTGCCGAACTTTCTGTACGTGAACCGAATTGTTCGCGAACAGAAGCGTTCGTGAACCGAGGTACCACTGTATATTCTACTCTCCCAATACTTCTCCTTTAATATATAGGATGAAATAAAAAAGGTTCCTTTTCACATCTAGCCGAATCTCTGCACTGAAATCAAACGATGATCTTTAATTAGACAAGTGCAACACCAGTGACATACAGTTGGATTAAATCTCTGGATCGGCTACATACATTGAGTTGACCTAAAAGTCTCCAAGCGTTTGGCAATACTTTTTTCTTTTCTGATACCACACAGTTTCTGTTTTTTTCAGTTCAAACCAAGTCCCAGCAAGGAACCTTACAGGAAATCAATTTCTTCCCAATAGCTTTTTGTTTTATTTTCTCTTTATCACTTTTTCGTGCTCTAAGAGATAAATAATTTGCTTATGCCACATGCAATACAACCCCACAGAAGTCTTTCGGATGGCTACTTTGTCAGTTTGATCTACAAATATAGATAGAAAGGGGTTTATGGATGCTCCAGTTTTTCTTTGATGGCATCATAATATCAGATATTTGCAATATCGAGCGAGCGGATTGAAATGTGTATGGATGCAAAATGCAAATATGGGAGATAACAGCTAATTGGTTATATTTTGTGCTACATGCTGCTCTATGCCATACCAAAGAATGACTGTAGGAAAATGGCATGATGATTGAGCATCTAACAAAATGGCAGCAGTAACTGATAGTCTATAGTGATATAAGATTTATTTCCTTTACCCTATACAGAACAGCAAGGGACAGGTCCCAGCGGATGTGGTTCCTGACCCCATGGATATGGGCCTAGACAAAGCCGAATCTGCCATGATTGCCAAGGAGCTGAAGCAGCTGCTGTTGGACTCGGTGCCCTTAACTTGTAACCTACCCAAGGTCACACTGCCCAACTACGACAACATACCTGGTAATCTGATGCTGGCGTCTATAGGACTGAAGCTGGGTGACCGAGTGCTGCTCGATGCAGAGAAGGTAACGGCTAAGCTTTCTATAATGAATCAATGAAGTTTGCTCTTTGCTAAAATGGGATCATTTGAAGCATAGTTAGAGCTGTTTTGTTACTGTGGAAAAGCTAAGTTACCAAATGCTAGGACTGCTGATTGTGCTTTTCCAAAGCTGAAAAAAGCTGGTTTTGGCCACTTTGAAAACTACCTGTTATGTGGACTCTCCTTACTTGTACAAAACAACCCTGCTAGAGGTCTTCTACCCCAAGAGATGACAAAAGCAAAGCTGTTATCATTGCACTGTTCTTAATAGACATAATAATGACCGCTTTATTTATACCTCGATTCTTGGCAGGCTGGCACACTGCGCTTTTGTGGCACCACTGAATTTGCCAGTGGTCAGTGGGTGGGAGTCGAGCTGGACGAGCCAGAGGGAAAGAATGATGGTAGTGTGGGGGGCATTCACTATTTTATCTGTCCCCCCAAACATGGTGAGTGCTTTAATTTTCTGTAATATATATCTTACATTGCATTAGTATATGAAGATGTGTTTGGGTTCATTACCTCCAGACAAAAAAAATGTTTTCCTTAGTTTTGGTTACTGTGAAGAAACGTTTCATTTCCTGTCAGATTAATTTTTTCTCTCTGTGGCTACATTGGAGAGGAATTCCCCTCGTATCCAGTCCCTGTGAGGCCCATACAAGTTATTAGAGATGCGGGTGTTACCTGGACAGGAGCACGCAAATAGCAATAGTTCTTCTAACCCTTCCTCGCTCTACTAAAAGGGTATTTTTGGATTTGTCAGCATCCCTGTTTGAGACATTTGTAATCACTGTATTGGAAGTGAGGAGGAATCTCCCCAATAGGGACAAAGTCAATAAAAGCCTAGCAGAGGCTCTATCCAAAACTAAATAAAAATAAAGTTATCACTTTTTTAACAAAACACAAAACAATATAGTTAAAACAGTAACTCATACCAGCCAATCATGATTCAACATTCCTGTATCCCACTACAGTAAACTATTACATTTTAAAAATGAATAATTTAAATAATATTTGTGGTCAGGGTGTTATAACAAATTAACATGCAGTGTACCTCTGTAATACTGGCACATTTCCCCTTCATTTGTCTCTTTTAAAACAGAAAAATACCTGTTGATCCTTCTGGAAATCCACTGACCTCCTAACTTTTCTAAGGCTTGGTTTACACTTTTGCATTGTGGAAACCCACCCGGTAATGCCAATGCATGTGTGCTGCAGTATTCCACAGACAATGGTGAAGCACCACCATGTGTTGGGTGCGCTGCTTTCCAAAAAAAGTGTTCCTCTTTTGATGTTGCAGCTCGTTCATGGGCTGCCCTAACACAATGCCCGTTAAAGCGCGAAGTAATGCACTTCAACACACTTTGTGTAACGCACTGCAAACGTTTGAGCCCAGCCAAAGTGAAATACCAACTTCGCTGCTGCTGCACTGAAATCCCAATTGGTGTTGTCATTTCTCCCCAATGGACTACAGAACACCTTCCAATCAGGTGCAGGATGGCCACATATTTGGCAAGACGTACCATTTGACTTTCAGCTTTTTGCACCGTGTTAAATAATCCTGCTTGCCACAACATCGCTGTTTATGTTGAAAGCTACTAAAAAACGTATTGAAGCCCCTTTGGTAAAAACCTATTATTGCAGGAAAGGAAATATGTTCCTCTATTTTTAGGATGATCCCTTATTTCTGCTTGTATGCCTATATTCTTTCATCCTGTAGGTGTCACTGTTTCCAATATTACTGCAAACTGTAAGACAGATTTATATGGGTTCTAAAGTCCCTGCTTTTCCTCTCCTGTTATAATACAATCAAAGCTTACTAGAAAAAAATCCCTTTTATGTAGTGAGCGCTGCCTTCTGTCTGCCCATCACTTTCCCCAACTTCCTGGATTCCCAGTGTGCTTTGCATCTCTTCCCCCGCTGCTTGATGTGATGCAATCTCCATTTCTCAAGACTACATTTCCCACCATGCATTGCTTCTAGCAAGCAATGATAATGCTACATTGGTTAGACGTTGAGTTGTAGTTCAGAAGGCAAGGTCTGTGAGAGTGGTGACACTAAGAAAGTGCATATTCACAGGGCTGAGTGAAACTGTGTCAGTGCATTGAGGAAGTACATCCAGTGGGTATCTTTACAAACTTCTAGATTGATATGGTTATAAGAAGTGGGATAGAAATTATGGAAATGCAATATAGAAATACAGATATATTTTGAGTTTTTGACCATAGATGCACTTTAACTTCTTCAGGACCGGAGCAATTTAAAAAAAAAAACTTTTGCACACAAACTTTAAAATCTAAATTTTTGGCTAGAAATTTGTGTTAAAAACCCCCAAACAATTATACATTTTTAAATGCAGAAACCCCGAAGAATTATTATTATTATAATACAGGATTTTTAGTATATAGCACCAACAGGAAGACATTACAGTTACAATACAATTTCAATACAGAAGGGTTAGGAAGGCTCTGCTTGTGAGAGCTTACTAAAATGCTTGTTACAATTTTTATTGTCGCACAATATTTGCGCAAATGTTTATCAAATGGATATTTTTAGGAAACAATGCAGAAAAAGGAACTGTAGTGCACACAAACCCAATATAATATCCACATATTGGGGAAAACTGCCCATAGGTGACCTTTTAAAAGCCTTTACCACTCATCAATTTAGAGTTGACAGTGATAGATGGCCATAGAATTATTGCTCTCACTCCAACATTCCCGTTGATGTGTAACATGTGTGGTGCAAGTGTTTTTTTCTCATGTAGCAATACAGCACCAAACACATTACATATGTATAATGTGTATCCCATTACCTGCAGCTGCTGCTTCTTGTAAAGTATTTATTTCCTCTGCTCCTCAGCTCCATCTAGTGGACATAATGCAGTATTACATCACATGCAATTTGCCATGAAAAGAAAATATACTAAGAACATTTGTTTTTGCCTCTATTCGAACAGAACGAACGTTCACAGATATTAACAGTGTGAAAGGCTCTGCGAATTGTTTACAAATAGGCCCCATTGTGTCTTCTTAGACTTAAGACTTATTAAGACCAAGAAAACATTTTTTTGATATATAATGTGTTTGTATTATTGGCAAGAGGATATTTTTTTATTCCTTTTTTCATGGTCACTTCATAACAACACTTGATTTTATTTCTAGGACTATTTTCTTCTGTGTCCAAGGTCAGTAAAGCCCCTGAGCAGCCTCCGTCCTCTGTCACCTCCACACCAAAGACTCCTCGTATGGACTTCTCCAGGGTCACAGGCAAGGGGAGGAAGGAGAAAAAATGTACGTACGCTTTCCATTGAAGCTTGAACCAGGCAAACTTCGCCTCTTTTGCTCTGGACACAATTCATTTGGGGTGGCTTTGGTAAAACGGAAGTTGATGGTTCCCTGTTTGTCTTTTTCATGGTCTCTCGCAGCAATAAAGAAGAAGTCCATCAGTGTGGGCAGTCTAGACAAAGAGGGACTGAACATCGACTTGGGGGACCAAGTACTTGTGGCTGGACAGAAACAGGGAGTGGTGCGCTTCTATGGGAAGACAGATTTTGCTCCAGGTAACAGGATGGGAAGAATGGGTGGATATGTATGTATGTATATATATATATAGTATATGAGTAGTATAATACTACACTACACTACATACTACCAGAATACTGGTAGCGCTAGTCTTACTTTCTCTCCCCGCTGTTTGAGAACACCTTAATTTTTCTTCTCATCTGCCTTGGATATTAACAGACACTCTCGGGCATCTTTGGATATTGAATTATCAGATACGAATACCTCTCCTATGTTTGTCTCCCTGGAATCCAGTTGATGGAGTGGATTCAACTACGCCTGTGGTCTAACATTCTACGCCATATATCTTTAAGTGATCTGTGGTCTCCATATTAATCATGGACAATGGTGTAGGATATGAAGCTACATAGAACCACAGATTCATGCAATTTGAATTTATTTACCATGGCATTGATCTGTGCAGTTCCTTGCAGTCTCCCATGTGATACACATATACTGCTGCATGGTATTTGATATGCTTCCCAATACTGTTTGAGAAAGCAGACTGGTGTCTGGGAAATGCATTACATTACCTCCATAAATGATCATCAGGCTAATGGGTCTGTATAGTAAAGGGGCAAAGGGTAGACGAATGGGTGCATACTTTGTGCCACGCTACCATATTCTAATATATTCCGTGGGAGTCTATATGTTTTTTATTCTCTTTCATTTTGATTTTGCCTAATAAAATGAGTTTCAATGGATGCAAAAATGTTTCTGATATCTTATGCCACACCTTAACTCTCCTATTTCCCAATGGTTCTTTACTTCTACATGCGGTGTCCTGATTTATTGTAGGTATATCATGTCGTACTGCTATATAGTGTGAAAAAAACAAACTTATCTTCTTTTTTCTACTACAGGATACTGGTTTGGAGTCGAGCTGGAAAAGTCTTCAGGGAAACATGACGGCTCAGTATTTGGTGTTCGGTATTTTACCTGCCCCCCAAAATATGGAGTCTTCGCTCCGCCCTCCAGAGTTCAGCGGTAAGTTTGGCTGCATGTTTTAGCGTAGCGTTATTCTATTGTGTAGTTATATATATTTCAAAGATTTGTATATGTAATTTTACCGATTATTTTATACTAAGGGAGTTTTAGGTTTATAGAAACATCTTAAGCAGATCTATACTGTAAGGGTGCATCCTAATGTCATTAAATCTGATTAGCTGCGTTTATGAAAGTAATATTATCAGGTCTGTTTTATGTTTAAAAATGCTTCTAGTTACAGTTTTTAATTGTGCATGTACAGTATGTGGGGGCAGGCCTACTTTCCCATTATAATCTATGACTCCTATCTAATAGTGCTGCATTTTCTCCCAGTGTTAGTCCAGCAATCCATTTAGTCTGGTATATAAAGCAGCTCATCAGACAAGAAAATCATAGCTACATATATTTATATCTCATACATACATATATATATATATATATCTATATATCACACTATTCTCTTTATATATTTTAAGTGCAAAATATCTTTAATTAATGTCACAAAAGTTACAAATAAACATTGTCCTGGTGACCATTTTGACAGAGAGTGATGGGAAATCCCGAATTTTATAGTTGTCCCAAACACAGGGGGAACAGAAAAAAATGGGAGGTAAGCGTTACCACCAAGAGGTGACCTGTCAGCAAAATGTGGGTCCACGTGGAGTGTGGACCACATGGGTTGGTTGATAGGGGCTGTGAAAAGTGAGATGTGTGGTTGATAGGGGCTGTGAAAAGTGAGATGCATCCATATCCACATGTTCCCACCCTCGTAAAGCGCGGTATTATGGGACAACTCTCCTAACTTTCCAGTGTGTGTGTGTGTATGTGTGTGTGTTATATACTGTATTATGTTATCTTATCTGCTTTTATGAATTAAAATCAGACTAGCCTTAGCTGCATTGCTGCAAATTACCTGTGGTTTACATTGCTCTATAGCTCAAGCTCCAATCTGCACACAACTTAATGATCAGAGGAGTGTCCTCCTAGTCCGCTCCGTTCAGACTGTGCATACAAAGTTTCAGTTGTAGAGAGGCAGTCTGAAAGCAAACAACTTCAGCAGCCTTATTGAAAAAACAAAAACGCTTTATAAATACACTGCCTAGTTGAGGACCTCTAAAGCTCTGCTCATTCCAGGCATCCGAATTCACGAGGGCTGCTCTAAATACAAGCATTATAAAGCATGTGCTCATTGCGAGAAAACATTTGTTACACTTCATATAACACATGGAGGGGAATTTATCAAAACTGGAGGGACACAATTTGGAGCAGTTGTGCACGGCAACCAATCAACTTTTTTTTTTCATTTTCAAATTCTTACTGAGCAAACTGAAGAGAGAAGCTGATTGGTTGCCATAGGCATCTGCTCCAGATTTTGTCTGCTCCAGTTTTGATAAATTCCCCTCATGGCATCACCAGCATGACTTTAAGGTTTGTTGAGTACATCACTCTGATTTTGTATGTTCCTATTCCATTCCAGGATCGGTGGCCCAAAGGAACCACAAGCAGACAATAACGCAGTGAAAAAAGTGCATCAAGTAACTAGTAGGTATACATTTTTTGAGTCATTAGCAGTGCTGTTTGTAGCGTAAATGTGTGGAAGGAGAAAACAGGGAACCAGACAGAATAAGACAATTAGTTTTGGGGGTTTTTTTAACAATCCTTTTCGATTAAAATATTGTCTCAGATGGTCATCAATCATCATACAAATACCTGTAATAAATAAATAATAAATCAATTATGGCCAGAAGATATCGCTAAGATATGAAGAAAAGGTGGAGAATAAGAGTAATGCCGAATGGAGGATGACAGAATAAAGAACATATCTGTGTTCATTGGGAAACAGTGTCTCTGCACAGCAGCAGAATATATGTGTATAGTGAACAGAAGGCATGCATTACTATATGTTGCACGAACGCATATTTCCATGTATTTTCAGACTTGCATTTCTGGAAGACTACACTCAATGCATTTAAATGGCTGAATGTGGATAAACACCACAATTCTGCATGCAGAACTTTTATCCAATGCCCACCAACACTAGTGGGAATGAGTTCTATTGAAAAAAAGTTTTTTTCCAGTAGGACTAGTATGAAATGAGGGCATGTTGGGCAAAGCAAAGGCTTGACTGCTATACTTGGAGCTTACACAGGGATGAGGCAGGGCCGGGTGCCTGAACAACCAATCATCAAGTATCAATGCTGTTAGGGTGGAATGGGAGTAAGTCATATCGTGTATCCAAAAATACAGAGTATTTCACTTCATTCCCCACAGTGAAATGAGGTGAAGGGGAAGCAAAGGGGAGATAAGTGTATTTTGCAGGGTAAGGCAGCAGTTAAGTAAATCTGTTGCTCTATCTGCCATGGGCAAAGCACAGATTTAGGTAAAATTTTAAGATAAAGTGAACATGAGCCCAGAATATGCACAATTAAGTATTTACATATTCTGAACAAGCCGTAAAAAATACTTTAACACAAACCCTCATTCACCTCTGTAGCAATAGGCATTGTGATGAAATACAATTCCACATTTTATTTGAGTCATGAAAATGTACATATGTATACATCATCACTGCACCTCTACATTACCACAATCAGTGGCGGAACAATCACCATGGCGACCCAAGCGATCCTATGGGGCCCGGGGCACAGGGGGGCCCGGCCAGGACATCCTACTGATGCTGTGCGGGTCGCCTGGGTCGCTATGGCATCTCAGGCTGGTGGCTATCACTGGCGACTGTGAGGAGGAACACGCCGCTGTTCAGATCACTGACAACCTGTCCTCCTCACAGCTGCTGCTGAGCCAGTGACAGCCAGCAGCTGTGGAGGAGGAGACTGGGCCCGGTGTCGGCAGTGAAGGAGAGGGTGGGGCCCAGCAACGGAGGAGGCGGAGAGCTATCTGGGCTGACAGGTAAGAGGGTTTGACCAGCCTACCTGAGACCCTGCAGAGCCCACCATAGAGGGTCTATGGTGGGCTCTGCAGGGTCACTCTCAGGTGGGTTGTTTGGGAAATCAGGTGGGCGTAACTAGAAATCACAGGTCCCGATACAAAGTTTTGCTATGGGGCCCTGTGATTTTTAGTTACGCCTCTGACCACAATAAATGCGAATCACTTACAGGGGTGAAAATGTACTTTAAGTTTGGCTAATCCTACCCTTCAAGGATCACATGGCCAAAACCCTATACTTTTGGCCATGTGCCAGCACTTGGTGAAGCCTGCAGCAGCATTTTACCCAGAAAATGTAACTATTGAAATGTAACTAATGTCACTTGATAGGGGCTCCCACGCTTTGCACATTGTTGTGTGCTGTACTAACGCGTGTTATGGCAAATATTATATTATTATAAGACATATTAAACATTTATATTGTATGAAAATATCCCATTATGTGTGTTCTTGCATAATAGAAAGTAGTATGTACCGTTAATTTATTTAAGAAGAAATATTTGTTGTTGCATGCAGTGTCACAGCCAAAGCGTAACTTCAACACAGTGCGGACACCGAAAGAGATCGCATCAGAAAACTCTATCTCCAGGTATTACTGCTGTCATTATGGGTTCACCTATAGATACCTGTGCATGCTTTAAGAGGAAGCTATGTATAAACCCACAAAGACGGGTAATGTGACCAGGGCTGGATTTCCCACAAGGCCAACCAAGGCCCGGCCTTGGGGCAGCAGGGGTGTGGAATTCCTATCTCCCGATGCCTGGGACATGCAGCTCCGGGAGTCGGGTGAGTAGTTGTTTTCCACATTTAGCCCTGCTTTGGGCAAGCAGAGCTAAATCTACAGCGGGGAAGCCACCCAGTGGCGGAACTACCAGGGTCGCAGAGGTCGCGACCGGGGACCAGTGATCTTGGCGATGTTGTCGAGATCACTTGTATGCAGCCTGCAGGTCTGCTATTCTCCATGGAGGGGGGAGGGGGGGGTTGGCGGCTAGGGGGGCGCATTGAGGAACCTGGCCTTGTGGCAGCAGAGAAAGTAAATCCGGTCCTGAATGTGACTCTAATAAGGGTGTTGTAGCTTGGGTACAAATGATGACTACATACTCAACAAAAGGCTTCCTATATATGGACATTAATACTTTAGGTTCCTTGCATACATTGACTTTCTAGGACATGTATATACCAGAGCTAGCCAAAGACATTAGAGAACAGTCAAACATGCACACACAATGAAATTAACACAAATTGCATACACAAAGGCTAACTTCAGATTAATTTGCAGCCAAAAGGTTTATTGAAAAATATAGGCAGCTTATTTAAAATGCAAATCTTCACTTTTCCTAGAAAAGTCAACTTTTTCTCCACCCTTTCCACCTCTAAAGACTCCCCTTTGCTAATTTAGTAGAATGGGTGGGCTCATTGAAAAACAGGGAGGTTAGGGAGGCGGTAGGAGGCATCTTTAGATTTATTTGTTTGTCCTTTCTAGTTACAGAGATATATTGAAGGAAGAACTACCGTAACAATGTGTTGTGTTTATCTGTATAGAAATGTATCTTCCATTTACTCTTCTAAACAGCAGATGGAAGAGGAAAGGAAAATTTGATTGACTGCTAGAGGCAACACACACTAGGACAATTCTCTTCACAGACACAAGCATAGACAATTCTCTCCATAGAAACATAACTGGACAATTCTCTCCATAGGGACATATGCAGACAATTCTCTCCATAGGGACGTATGGGACAATTCTCTCCATAGGGACATAGGCAGACAATTCTCTCCATGGGGACGTATGGGACAATTGTCTCCATAGGGACATAGGTGGACAATTCTCTCCATAGGGACGTATGGGACAATTCTCTTCATAGGGACATAGGCAGACAATTCTCTCCATAGGGACGTATGGGACAATTCTCTCCCTAGGGACATAGGTGGACAATTCTCTCCATAGGGACGTATGGGACAATTGTCTCCATAGGGACATAGGCAGACAATTCTCTCCATAGGGACGTATGGGACAATTGTCTCCATAGGGACATAGGTGGACAATTCTCTCCATAGGGACGTATGGGACAATTCTCTTCATAGGGACATAGGCAGACAATTCTCTCCATAGGGACGTATGGGACAATTCTCTCCATAGGGACATAGGCAGACAATTCTCTCCATAGGGACGTATGGGACAATTCTCTCCCTAGGGACATAGGTGGACAATTCTCTCCATAGGGACGTATGGGACAATTCTCTTCATAGGGACATAGGTGGACAATTCTCTCCATAGGGACGTTTGTTACAATTCTCTCCATAGGGACGTATGGGACAATTCTCTCCATAGGGACATAGGTGGACAATTCTCTACATAGGGAGATAGGTGGACAGTTCTCTCTATATACGCATAGATGAACAATTCTTTTGATAGACACACAGATGGGCAATTCTCCCCATAGACACATACAGTAGATTCACAATGCCGTCTAAGGTGACCTCGCTTTATTTCCTTCTGTCTCTGACCTAAGCTCACTGTCCTTTCTTTTCTTTCTCAGGTTGCTGTTCTGCTGCTGGTTTCCCTGGCTGCTGCGTGCTGAGATGCAATCCTAACCTTGTTTCCTGCTAGTCCAGCATCCTATCACCTGGAGCCACAGACTGCCGCCTCCCTCTGTCTGTGTCTGCATCCCCCGACTCCCCCAGTGCCTTGTCTAATGTTCCTCTGATTAAGGGGCCCCTCTGTGTGTCACTGTCCCATTCAGTGCAGGATAAATCGAGGAGTGGGGGGTCAGGACAATCCGGCGTCATTCTGCTGAAGGTTCACTTGCTTCCGTCTTCTACAGAACCTTCTACCGAAAGACTGAATCAGCAGGAACCTCCAGCACTGCCCGAGCTTGCCCCAGTTGCCATTTATTCTATGTTTATAGGGATGACATGATACAAATACTGGGATACTGCTGACTTAAAGACCTCTAGCTATCAAGGCAAAAAGCAAAGTTTAGTACTCCACAACAACCAATTGCCAATGTCCTGACTGCTCTAAACTGCAGTATGCGAAAATCTGATTGGTTGCTGCAGGGTATTGCACCTCATTGCTCTTTGTGGTATAAACGTATGCATCCATATCCCTTATTACCACTTTCACCAGCCGCTAATTGGTATTACCAACTCATTACCAAACCATAATTAATCAATAAACTATAGCCCCATATAAACCATAAGTGCATCATACCCTAAACCAGGGGCAGTCAAACTTCGGCCCTCCAGCTGTTGTGAAACTGCAAGGATTTGGAGTTTAACATCAGCTGGAGGGCCAAAGTTTGGCTACCCTTATCTTAAACCAACTTAGCTTGGAATATATCTATATATAAATACTGTAATTCTCTTTGCTCCAAAAGATGAGGACATGTCTGTTCTAGTTTAACGCCAATCTTTATGAAAATCCATACGCAGCCTTGCAAATCAGACTGTCGTCATGGAAATGATCAACCACATGAACAGTGTGCTTGGTGGAACTATAATGTAAGAATAAGCTAAGAATTAGTGACCTGTCTTAGGTTCATTGCTTGTATTTGTACATATCCCTGTATAGAAAGAAACACAGTCTATCCCTGGACTGTGATGTGTCAAATACCTGTATGTGGCCCACTGTCTCTATCATCCTGGCAAGTCATGTCTTTGATATGTCGGTCTCTCTCATCCCATCCCTATCATCCAATGCTTTTCCTGTGAAGCCTCTAACACCTTTTCCTTGACCCATGGTTTTTTTGTCATCCCGTCTTTAGTTTGTGATGTCTATATTATCCTCTCTTGATCTCTATCATTCTATATCTGGTCTGTGTTGTGTCTAGCATTCTGTCCCTGGTCATTGACATCTTTTTCGCTGTGCTACTGGTCTCCATTATCCTATCTGTGGTCTGCTGGACCTTTCAAATTCCCATTTTGTCATCTTATCGCTGGTATCCGATGTCTGCATCACCTTGTCCTTGGTTGGTTGTGACTTTCATTCTCTTTCTGGTGTGCCATTTCTCCATCATCCTGCCTTCAATCTGTTCTGTATTGTCTCTAGCACCTTGTCTCTGGTCTACTGTCTCCGTTATCTTGCATTTGATCTGTTGTATCCATAATTTGTCCTTGGTCTGTTATCTCTTTCATCCTGTCCCCAGTCTGTTGTCTCTATCATCTGGTGTCAGATATTTTGTGTTTCATCTGGTATCTCTATAGCACTGTCTTTGGTCTATGATGTCTCCATGATCTTATCCCAGTTCTCTGTGGTGTCAGTTATTTTGTCTTTCATCTGATATCTCTATGACGCAGTCTTTGGTCTATGATGTCTCCATTATCATATCCCTTGTCTGCAACGTTTCAGCATCTTTCCCTTGGACTCTAAAGCCTTCATCACCCTGGTTTGTTGTCACTATCATCTTACACATAGTCTGTCATGTCATCATCACCTTGTCTTTGATCTGTTGTACCATGCGGTTTCTGTTCTTCATTGTCTCTATTATCTTGTCTTCTGATGTCTCTATCTTTACTACTGGTATGTATTGTCTCCATCTATCTGTCCGAAGCCTTCTATGTCTCTAACACCTTGCCCCTGGTAATGTCTCTGCCGACCTGTTTCTAGTCTTTCCCCTTCTCTGTCAATCTGTCTTTGATCTATGGTCTCTATTATTCTCCCTCCTTGACATCTCTATCATCCTCTCAGAGCTTTGTCCGAAGATAGAGTAAGAACATGTCTTGTTGCACACAGCAACCATATTCCCTCCTTTCATACTAAAATACTGCACTGGAAACATGAAAAGGGAACATCATCTTGGTTGCTCTGGCTACAAGAACACTTATGTTTTGGGCCTTTTATACATAGGGGCCATTAATCCCTGACATCTTGTCTCCTTAATATTTTTAAAACAATCATTCTTCCAGTCTTCAGCCCAGCAGCAATAACCTGGCCACCCCATGTCCTGAATCCTCTGACAAAACTGCTCTGTGACCACTTAAAGAGAGCCTGTCTATCCTACCTTGGATTATCTGATCACTGCATGCAGCCCCCTCCTCTGTACATAGCATGGGGTACTCTGTGTGCTGTGAGTAATGACTGTCTGTACATTGTGCTAAGTATTAGCTAGCACGCCATTCAGAATGTAGGGAGGACCATACACAGTGTAAAGAGTCTGCACAGCATCTATATAGACACACATCTTAATCCCATATGAAATATAAGGACTGACGTGGAATACACAGTATATAGACAGTAGCAGTGATCTGTATTACTATATATATATTGATAAAGTGACTACCTGTATACAGATAAACAGTTGAGTATATTTTGTGGAGGTGTAGAAGATGCTTTATGCGGATGGGACTTATTATATGACCCCCCTGGGGAGGGGGGAGGGATTGTCACTAAATATGTCATTTAGTGGACCCCACATTTTTCCCTTGGAATGTGTTCTGGGGCCCCTTTCTGTATCCCTGCGTAAAATCTTGTGATCTGCCTGTAACTTGTGGTCTTACTAACCCTGTATCCGGGACAAATGGATGTACATCAAATAAAATGATTTATCTACTCTACTTTCTGTGGCTAGTTTTTCCTTCATCTAATCATGGGGAGTGTTGTTAAAGTGTATGTGAACCGCAACAATTAAAGTAACACTAAACTCAGGAATTAAATCTTAAAAATACATTGAAGTACCTTAAATATTAACAAAAATTTATCTTATTTGTGTATCACTCGGCTGTAGATCCTCAAATCATCTCTTAATTGTTGCTCACACTGTCCTTCCTTCTGGAGGGTAAATACTTGTGTTCCCCATGGTCTCTGTGCTGTGTGTGTTGTAAAGTAGTCACCGCTCCAAGCTCACTCCCGTGATGGACTACAGTCTCAATACAAATTAGTAAACTAAACGTGAGATTGTAGTCCAGCACAGGAGGGAGCTTGGAGCAGTGGCTACTTTACAACACACACAGCACAGAGACCATGGGGAACACAAGTATTTACCCTCCAGAAGGAAGGACAGTGTCAGCAACAATTAAGAGATGATTTGAGGATCTACAGCCGAGTGATACACAAATAAGATAAATTTTTGTTAATATTTAAGGTACTTGAATGCATTTTAAGGTTTATCCAAATTGTTTTGTGGTTTCAGGGAAACTCCATTCCTCCATATATTTGCGCGAACTGAAAGCACAAAAATGAAATTCACATTAAAATATACAATAACAATTTGATCCAGAGGATTTCCTCTCAGCGCTTTATTTCTGCTGCTAGATATCTTCAGTTTGATGGCCAGCATCATTTAACCAACTTCATCCAAGCCCTGGTTGTCCCAGGTCAGAAGAACTGAACATCTGAATGAGTCAGAAGAGTAATGCACCCCTCTCCCTACCTCGTGTGTTTCTATGGGCCATACAGAGTTTCAGCCAGGGAGAGTCAGAAGGTAAACTGCTTATGCTGTGCTCCTATTTAGAAAGCTCACAATGCTCTGGGAATCCTGTGTCATAGGTGGACTACAGCTTAGCAACATGATGTCTCTGGAAATACCATTCTCCCTTTACTGACTCAACAGTGCAGTGAAATATCACTCCCTCCTATCCAAAACTCAACAGTCTACCTGCAAATATCACCGTTCCCCACTCTTCCGCAGCAGATGGTCTATGGGGCATAGCACTTCCCACATATATGACATAGCAGTGCAGTGTTACTTGAAATATCGCTTTCACCTGTCCCCCACTCAGCGCTAGGGTTGCCACCCATCCAGTTTTGAGGCCAGACAGTCCAGTTTTTAGAACTGTAATATGGTCCTTTTTCTAACATAGCGGCCAGATAACCACACACCCTGCATTAATTCTTGTTCCCCATAGCAGGGACATGTATGTCTAGTATTCTGTAAGTCTATGCAGGAAGGAGGAGCTTCTATTAGGGTTGGGTGCACCACCTGCCTGCCCCGGTCCCCATAGCAGGGTGTGTGCACCTCTAATAAGTGGGCACACACGTCACTATCAGTGGCTCCTCCTCCTTCCTGCTTGGAGTTAAAGGATGCCGATCTGTGTCTCTTGTAGGTAGTTTGGCTGCCATGCCCCTGTCCAGCCCTGCTGGGGTGACTGACAGTGGCTCCCCAATCAACCAACAGAGCATGGCTGGGCAGGGGTGCAAGGTGGCTAAACTGACTAGATACAGGCACACAGGCGCGGCATCCGGTACCTCCAAAGAGGGTGAACAGCTATGCAAACTGACTCATATATATTCAATAATAATTTTACAGAATACACTTAATAAGCCTTTGCTGTTTGGAAGAGCTCAGGGAGCCGCCACTATCTCACACCCTGAGACATGTCAAATAGGGCAGGGCTCAAAATTTCCACTCGTCTGCTCGCATTTGGTGAGTAAAAATAAAGTGAGGGGCGAGTGGAAATTTGGGTCTCCAAGTACCGGACCGCAGGCCAACTCCGGCCCTCGAGCGGTACTATGTGGCCCGCAGCCAGCTGACATGTCAGACACACGGTCCCAGACCGCGTACCTGACTTTCGGGAGCAGCTCCACGGTCTGCATCTGTGTCGGATGCAGACTGGAGAGCAGCTCCGGCTTCCTTCGCCCGGAGCTCTGACAGTTCTGAGCTCCGGGCGAAAGAAAGGATGGATCGATCCCTGGTTATCTGGGGGTGACTAGTGAGGTCTGCTGCAGACCTCACTAATCACCCCCAGATAACCAGGGATCGATCCTGCTCACAGCCTCCTCCCTGCAAAGACGTGAACAGGTGAGGG